ATCTTCAAATATTTTTTCTCTGTTTCATTTGCTCTTTTTGTCAATGCAGAAATTATATATACACTGAATTTCCTCTGTCTGTCTTCCATAGTTATTTTCTCACTAATACTTTTCAGTTTGGTCCTAGTTCCTTTTCATAAATATTTCTTAGTTTCATTTCATGTTTGTGCTTTAGCATTCCATTGTTTGTAACTTAGCATCAGGGTGATGGTAAGATCTGCCTTTGGGTTTAGTGGATGAGGAAACCTTGTTAGACCTTGAGTTTAGGACAAATGCTACAAGTACTGCAAGCCAGTTTTATCATAGATTCATAAGTCTCAAAAAAAATCCTTGTGTGTACAGCTCTCTCAGAAAACACAGGAATGAAGGGTGATTAACAGTGAGTTTTCTAACCAGACACTACCTAATAGAGCTCAAGTCTCATCATTATTTTTACAACATGCTGGTTGTAGGTAGCACAGAAAAGTGCTTTCTGACAAAACTTAGAAACATATTATGTCAATAATATTGGAAATTAGGTCTTGTGTGATTAATTATAGAATTTTATATACCTTTTGTATTTAAGAATAAAATTCATAAAAATGTTTTGTTTTGTTTTTTTGTCTCAGGGAAACAAACCTTTTCTAGTACATATCCTTCAATTGATTTTTTATGGGCGTTGATAGTCCTGTGTTTCTGCAAGATTGGCTTAGGTTGGCTTCCCCCAGAAACAGACCCCGAGATAAGGATTTGAGTGAAAGTAATTGGTTTGGCAAATGATCCAAGAAAATATTGGTAGGAGAGTAGGGAAATGAGTCAGTGAGGGGAAGAAAGCCAATAAAGGTGCATTAATGAGTAGATTGCTGCTGTTGTCAACTAAAGTTCAGTTCTGATGGGAGCCTCTGGGCCTGTGTGATTCATCCCTGAGAGCTGTCCTACCACAGGCACTAGAAAGCTGGGCCCTATCTTTCAACTCAATTCTCATCCATCATTGCTTGAATACTGTTCCTGGGGGAATTCATTCTCCAGCACTTTCAGCCTTCCCCATGTTGTGGTTGAGTATTCTCCTCGGCCTTGAATCAGGGCTTTGGGCTCTTGCATTAAGCGGCTGGATGAGAATAGAAAGTGCTGAGGGAAAATGGGCAGTACAGTGACAGGATCTGCTCTGTGCCACCCCTGTCCCCTTCAGATTCACTCATGCTCCACTCTATTTCAATACATTTAGTCACTAATTCTTTAAGATGATAGCTAGTTGTTGTTTTAAAACTAAAATAGTCTTTAAAGTGATAGGAAACAAAGACAAAAACGGGGTTGTTGTTTGCTAGATTTGGTCTCTAGGCCATAGTTTGTGATCTATATTCATTATCTCACTTCTCTACAAGGCAGCCAATCTTTGCTCCCCTCGCTGTCAGCAGCACATCTGCTGACCTGGGTAGCTTGATTGGTGGGTAAGCCAAGCCTTCATCCCTTTGGGGTCCACTGGTTACTTTCTCACATCAGACCATGATTACCACTATTGTTGATTTAACGTTATCAACTGGCTACATCAGTAGACCAGTAAAACAGTAAAAGCTACATCAGTAAATCTTCTAAGTTATAAACATATACTTCTTTGCCCTTTTTATTTAGCACCAACCTATCTCCTCATGATAATCAGGGACAATTACCCTCATACTACCATCAAATAAATATATATGTATATAAATATATATATAGCGCATAGTACAATTATACAAATACACACACACACACACACAAACACACACGAAGTCTGACAATTAAGTTCGCAAACTTGCCACGGTACGCTTCCATTGGTAGCACTGTACAAACAGCTCTGTAAGGTTTCATAACCTTGGTATATCAGTGTCTCACAGCTGTGTTTGTGTTGACATGTGGCAGTGTCTTGCTGAGTGGTGTTCATTATTGTTGCATGTTTTTGTGTGCCATTGTGAGAATGCCTGAGCTTGAATTAGAGCAACAGACAAACATTACATTTCTTGTTAAACTTGGCAAGAATGGAAGTGAAATCAAGGACACGTTAGTCCAAGTTTATGAGGATAATGCCATGAAGAAAATGGCAATGTACAAATGGATTAAACGTCGAAGTTTATGAGGATAATGCCATGAGGAAAATGGCAATGTACAAATGGATTAAACGTTTTTCTGAGGAGAGAGAACGCATCACTGATGGGAGGTCAGGGAGGCCAGTAATCAGCAGAACTGATGAAAACATTGCAAAAATTTGTTGAATTGTGTGTCAAAATCTTCAGCTGACTGTGAGAAGCATAGCAGACCAAGTAAACATCGACAGAGAAATAGCTAGGAAAATCTTAATTGAAAATCTTGGCATGAGAAAGGTGTGTGCAAAAATGGCCCTGAAGGAGCTCACCAATGAACAAAAGCAAAGGAGAGTCAAAGTTTGCCAAGACCTTTTGGAGATACAAGACAATGTTTTGGGCTATGTAATCACTGATGATGAAACATGGGTGTACCAATACAACACTAAAACAAAGCATCAAAGTGCACGATGGAAGTCAGCCAGTATTCCATGACCAAAAATTTCCATCAGTCCAAATCAAGAGTCAAAATGGTGCTGCTAACCATTTTTTATATCAGAGGTATTATTCATTATGAATTTGTACCAACTGGAGAAACACTTAACCAAGTTTACTATTTGGAAGTGCTGAAAAAGCTGTGTGAAAAAGTTAGATGAAAAGGACATGAACTTTTCACCAACAATTCATGGCTCTTGCATCACGATAATGCACCAGCTCACACGGCACTGTCTGTGAGGGAGTTCTTAGCCAGCAAACAAATAACTGTATTGGAACACCCTCCCTACTCACCTGATCTGGCCCACAATGACTTCTTTGTTTACCCAAAGATAAAGGAAATATTGAAAGGAAGACATTTTTATGACATTCAGGACATCAAGGGGAATACGACGACGGCTCTGATGGCCAATCTAGAAAAAGAGTCCCAAAATTGCTCTGAAGGGTGGACTAGGCACTGGTGTCAGTGCATAGCTCCCCAAGAGGAGTACTTCGAAGGTGACCATAGTGATATTCAGCAATGAGGGATGTGACACATTTTCTAGGATGCGTTTGTGAACATATTTGTCAGCCATCATATATATATATATGGCTTGCTGATCTGCCAGCAATAGGAGCCTAAAGCCTAAAATGACTAGGTTGTATACATAGCTTTATATTTAGTGGAACCCTTACTGTATTACCTAGAAAAAAAACATACCACTTTTGTAACTAGGACTTCTAGTCTAGTACTACCTAAAGCTTTAGGTACAGGAAGTACACCTTATCCAAGGTGGTCATTGGAAATAATAGTGAGAAGGGCCACTGCTACTTCTACTGTTTTGTCCTCAGATCATTGTATTCTAACTCTCTGAGACATATCATTATATAACGGAAATTAGTTGAAAGTATGAGGTCTGATAATTAAGTTTGTGAACTCATCCTAGGAAAAGTGCTACATACCTCATTGCTAAATATCACTATGGTCACCTTTGAAGTACTCTCCTTGAGAAGCTATGCACTGACATCAGTGCCTAATCCACCCTTCAAAGCAATTTTGGAACTCTTTTTCTAGATTGGCCATCAGAGCTGTCATCGTATTCCCCTTGATGTCCTGAATGTCATAAAAATGTCTTCCTTTCAATATTTCCTTTATCTTTGGGTAAACAAAGAAGTCATTGTGGGCCAGATCAGGTGAGTAGGGAGGGTGTTCCAATACAGTTATTTGTTTACTGGCTAAGAACTCCCTCACAGACAGTGCCGTGTGAGCTGGTGCATTATCGTGATGCAAGAGCCATGAATTGTTGGTGAAAAGTTCATGTCCTTTTCATCTAACTTTTTCACACAGCTTTTTCAGCACTTCCAAATAGTAAACTTGGTTAAGTGTTTCTCCAGTTGGTACAAATTCATAATGAATAATCGCTCTGATATCCAAAAAGGTTAACAACATTGTTGCAAGGAATTCTCTAACTTAATTGTCCGACCTGGTGTATCACACATTTTGACAAATGGTGTCCCTGCCTTGCAGATGCTTCAACTGAGACTTTAAGAGGCTATCACGATGTGATATATGATTGAATCAATTGGTCATGTGCTCATTTGCCCATTTTCTCACCCTCCATTCAAGGCTACTTCATTGGGGATCTCATGCTAGTAGATAAGACACTCTGAATCCTCAGATATAATGCTAGGAAGTGAAGGAAGTCCAACACATTTGGCCTAGTAAGGATGAAACACTGCTTCTTCTTAAGGGCAAAGAGCCCAGTATAATCAACTTGCTGCCAAGTGGCTGCATGGTCTCCTCAAGGATGGCACTATATTAACAGATGCTTAGTGCTCTGTGGTGATCACAATTGCTCATGGATCAGACATTCAGCAGTAATGACATCAGCCTTGGTGAGAGAAAGTCCAGGATGTGGGACTATCACTCCTCTGTTCTTGAGCCCATTGACAAGCACTGAGGTACCAAGAATCAAGTCTAGCTGATGTTTACTATCCACGTCATTCTATTCTCCTGGTTTCTAAGTTCTATGTTGTGGATACTCTTTGAGACATAAAGATCTACAGAGTTTGTGCCCACTCCAGTAGGTTCTACCATATGCTTCTTTCCCAGACACTCTGGCTTCCTGCATTCCAATCTCAGCCTGTGTCCCTGATCAGCAAACCAAGCCATTTGCCACTTCCCAGAAATGTCTCTCTCAATGTATGTCCTTATGTTAAGCCACTTCTCCTCTCCCCAAAAGTTAAAGGTCAAATGCATACTGCTAGGAAGATAGCTCACCACTGTACATTAGGACCAGCCATGTGTGGGCTTGTTATTGGCAGATATTCATCTGTAGCTTTTTATGAATATTTTGAACTTACTCATCTGTTAACCAGACTTGTTTTTTGTTTGTTTGTTTGTTTTTGTATTTTGTTTTGTTTTGTTTGTTTGTTTGTTTTTGCTTTGTTTTGTTTTATTTTGCTTTGTCTTCTGTCAATTGGTGCTAGAGAACCCTCCTTACCAGGAGGCCATAGAGGTGAGCTAAAGGAGAGGAATTAAAGACACAGAGGTAAGTAGCAGGAGATATCGGTCACCTGTTCATGGAACGTATGCCCCACAAACCTGCTGGAACCTGATCTCAAATGAACCACTTCCAGTGCATAATAGATTGCCACTAAGCTTGCTTGACTTTTGTTGAGTCTGAAAATACACAGCTCATAATGGGTCGCTCCATTTGTATAATCACTTGATGTTTCATAATCAGGTTTTCCATAGCCATTGCCATAGATCTCTATAAGTCAAGATACAGTAATTGTCATTCCAGCTTTACTGCACATTAAAGGAGATGACATTCACCCTGACTCTCTACTCTATTTAGACTCTCTTATGCTGGAATTCTGTTATCTTCATTGATGTTAGAGAACCCAGTTACATGGCAGCATTTCCTACTGTCAATCCTATTGTAAAAAGATAATCTCAGATTGAGCATCACAGTGATGCCTTCTTGCTGGAGAGTTTCTCATTGCTTTAGTGAAAGAAGTAACTTCTGAGAGTTTCCTTGGAACAAAGTCAGCTGGTAGGTTCTCTGCTCTCACATAATAAATCTCTTCTAACATGCCCAACTCTGAATACCAAGCCAATATTAAGTGAAGTCATAACTAGCATCCCCATCTATTTACAGTAAATTATTATCTTTTCAAATTTCAAGGAGATATTCTAGCAGACAATTTAGACCAATTCCACATGTCTTTTCCAGGAGGTTAAATCCAGAATCCAATTGGTTTTATGATATTTTTTTGGATATGCCTCCTAAGGCAATGACAACAAAAGCAACAACAATAAACAAATGGGATTACATAAAAAAAAGCTTTTGAACCACAAAGGAAACCATCAACAAAACAAAAAGACAAGCTACTGAATGAGAGAAGAAATTTGCAAATTATATATCCAGTAAGATATTAGTATTCAAAATGTATAAAGAACTCATATGGCTTGACATAAAAAAAAACAAATAATGCAATTTAAAAATGGGCAGAGGACCTGAATAGACATTTCTCGCAAGAGGACATACAGATGTCCAATAGATGTATGAAAAGATTCTCAACATCACTAATCATCAGAGAAATACACATTAAAAAACAATGAGTATCACTTCACACCTGTCAGAATGGCCATCATCAATAAATCAACAAACAATAACTGCTGGTGAGGATGTGGGGAAAAGGGAACCTTTATGATATTGGTGGAATTTCAAATTGGTGCAGCCACTATAGAAAACAGTATAGAGTTTCCTCAAAAAATTAACAATAGAACTACCATATGACCCAGCAATTCCACTTCTGGGTATTTATCTGAAGAAATCCAAAACACTATTCAAAATGATATATACATCCCTATGCTCATTGCAGCACAATGGCCAGGATATGCAAGAAACCTAAGTGCCCATCAATAGACAACTGGGTAAAGAAGCAGTGGTACATGTATGCAGTGGACTATTTCTTGGCCACAAAAAAGAATGAAGTTTTACCATTTGCAACAACACGTGGGGACCTAGAAAATATTATGCTAAGTGAAATACATCAGACAGAAAAAGACAAATATCATATTATTTCACTTATATGTGAAATCTACAAAACAAAATAAATGAACAAACAAAACAGAAACTAACTGATAGATACAGAGAACAAATTAATTGTTGCCGATAGGAGAGGGTGTGAAGGATGAATGAAAAAGGTGAAAGGGATTAAGAAGTACAACTTGCAAATTATAAAAATAGTAGTAGAAGAGGAGAAAAGGGGTCAAATATATGGTGATGGAAGGAGAACTGACTCTGAGTGGTGAACACACAATGTGATATATAGGTGATGTATTATACAATTGTACACTTGAAACCTATGTAATTTTACTAACCATTGTCACCCCAATAAACTTAATTAGAAAAAAAGAGTCATAGGGATGTAAAGTACAACATAGGGAAATACAACTAATAATATTATAATAACTAGGCATGAAAAGCTCAGACAAGTAAGTTCACACACTTAATTGTTCAACCTTCATAGGGTGTCAAATAGGTACTGGACTTATTAGATGACCACTTCATAAGGTATATAAATGTCTAATAATTATATTATGCACATGAAAATAATATAATATTGTATGTTAACTATACTTGAAAAAATAAATAAATAAATAAATCCTGAGTCAAGAAAATGTGACTTTATATCAACAAATGCAAATAAGTCAAAATCCAAAAGCCTTATAGTTTTTCCTTTCTGTTAAAGAGTCTTCAATACATATTCCTAAATTTTTTCTCTTGATAAATTTCATTATAAATTCACCAATTCTTGCCACTCTTTCAGTGAGCAATACATCTCTCATAGCAAGTAGTGTACTTTCCCACTCAGGCCACGCTGTGACTTAACCTCATAAACTGCCACTGTTATTCTGAAAATATCCCTTCCCAAAGACCCCGTGCTCTCTAGCTGAGCCTGGGAAACACATTGCTGCAGTAGTCATGGGGTAGCCAGAAACTCCTCTCTCCATGGTCACGCAGAAACTCCTCCTATTATCTCTGTTCTCAGAGTGCTGTCTACAGTAAGAGAGACCTCTACTGGGATACACCAAAGCAACTTTCCTCCTTCCCACCCTCCTCTGGCCCTTCTTCAGGAATCAGACCCAAAGCCCAAGTTTACAAACAGGAGAATATGTAGGACGAAGTAGGGAGAGGGAGCAAGATTGGGTGGTCTGGCCATCATCTCCAAGTGAGTTAGGGGATTCAGTCCTCTCTTCTCCTATTAAGGGGGTCAGTCCTGTTGGGTGGCCTTGCACTGATGCCAAGACCTGATTCCCCATACTAGGGGAAGGGAAAATGGTTAGAACCCCTGCTGCCCTCCTTGATCTGGGCCAGAGAGGTATGTGTCTGTGTCTCCCTGTGAGGGGGTCGTTTTCACATGGTCTCTCTTGCAAGAGGCCAACTTTACACAATAAAATTATATTTATTATATTATATATTAATGGAAACAATGCTCTATTATAAAATAAAATATAATTTATTATAATTTATAAGCTTATATTGTTACTTATGTATCATTATTATCCTATTACATAAATAAAAATATTTTAAAGGGAAGCTTTATATTTTAGTATCTTTAGTGATACATTTTTCCTGCTTTGGGAACAACAGGGTCCACATTTTCATTTTGCACTGATCCCTGCAAATGGAACTTTTATGATAAAATTCAAAAAGCCAGAGAAGAGGGAGGTACTTGGGAAAAAGAAGGAGAAGAAGGAAGGAAAAGGGGGTGGGGGGTGAGAAAGAAAGAGGAACAGAATTCTCAATGCTGATGCCTAACATAATTGTAAAAACACTCATCACATACGCAGATTTTTTGTGACACATGTGACACAAGTTAATTGCAATGTCAGAGTTAATTATTGCTAATAACAGTGGTGGTCACTTTGTGGCCTTTGAGGCTGATTCTGTTAAATATCAGAAGTGTTCTGCGTGTTTATTCATTTGTATTCAACTGAGGTTTATATTTGATGCCATTTTTCTGACACTTATTAATTGTTTAACTTTCAGAGGTTGCAGCCAAATATATTTGCCTTGGAAAAAATTGAAACAAAGTGTTCAATAAGCATAGAAAATATGCATCATGCTATGCATTACATTGAGGGCTACCAAGAAAAGCTTTATTTATACGAGAATATAGTTAGAAGAAAAGTGAAAGATAATTGCTTTGTCTTTTTTTCTTAAATGCAAACAAAGCAAGTGTAATCAATTATACTTGGACAGTTTGTAAAAGTTAATTCTTTCTGTTGGTATTAATAATAGGTGTCCCACAGGAGAAGGATTGCCATTCAAACCATAGAAAGCAGGGTGAGCAAGCTGAGCTGAAGGAGATATGCTGTGAGTTAAAGTGGACAAACAGGCAGTGTGGGTGTTAACTCAGGAACAATTGTGGAATATGGGGAGGAAAATAGTGGACAGTAAGGCTGATCAACAGCTCTTTGAATGTCATTAAATTAGAACCTACTAATTCGAACTCTCTGGGGAAAAGGATAGAGTTCACTTTTTATCCTTGTGGTTAAAGGTATATAAGCCAGGGGACTTCTGGTAAGATGGCGGAATAGATAGACGCTGTGCCGACTGCCTCCCAGGATCACACCAAAATTACAAATAATTTATAAGATATTCAACCTCGGAAGTTCCCTGGACACTAGATGAGCAGAACCTCTAAACGAAGGACTTAAAAAGGAGGCCACGTAGAGTCTGGTAGGAGGGGTGGAGACGAGAGAGGGCGAACCCCATGAGGGACACCTCAGTGGTGGGGAGGCTTCTCCGGTTGGGGGAGAGACCCTCCGGCCCCAAACTGTGCTCACCAGCCCAGAGTTACTTTACCGGGAAGAGGACTTCTATGAAAGCTGGAAGGAGAAAATAGTGAGGACTCTCTTTGCTCAACTCGGTGAGGCTGAGGGCAGCTGGAGAACCAGTGGAGCCGGCAAACCAACTCGCTCGCTAGTGAGCACTCACCCAGTTCCTGGTGGAGGGAGTAGCTTTGTGAACTGGGCCCAGGAGCCTCCAGGAAGGACTGAACTGAGTGCCTTAGGCATGGGAGCTGGAGGTTTGGGGACCATTGTTCCTGTGGTGTGGAGCTTACACACGGGTGGTGCACATGAGGGCGCCATTTTTTCAGGGCTGGGCCCTCCCACAGAGGCTCAGGACTGGGACTGCATTCGTCAGCTGGAATTGGCGCAGGAGTGCATGTGTGCGTGCATACGTGCATGCGCATGTGGCCTTGGATCCCCACCCTCCACACTGCTTGTGCTGCGTACCCAGGGAAACACCTGGCATGAACGCTCTGACTCCAACAACCTGCTTTTTGAGACCCGGGAGTGCGTACCACACCTTAGGTCCCCAATTTCCACACTGCAAGTGCAGCGTTAACTGGGTGATGACTGGCTGTCAGGCTGCTCGGCCTGATGATTGAGCGGCTGATTGGAACAGGCTGAGACAGGGCGTTTTCCTGGGAGTGTAGGGCCATGAGCTATGAGCCTGTGTGATTCGGC